CGATGACCTGAGGAAGAAAGACTCAAGGAAGAAGAGGAAGCAAGAAAAAGAAAAAAAGAAAGAAGATGGATAAAATTATTTTATTTTTTAAAAATATAAATAATAATAAGGTGAGTTGGCATGAGTTGTAATAAAAAAAAATTTTACGTTGACACGTTTTTAATTGGTTTTTGCCACATCATCAAAAAAACTATAAAAAAATGCCACATGAGCGAGTTAACGATCCAAATTAACAGAAGGACTAACGGAGTGCATTTTGTATAGTTGAGGGATCAAAAAAGTGCAAAATTTTGTTGATGGATCAAAAATGTGCAAAATTTTGTTAATGGATCAAAAATGTGCAAAATTTTGTTGATGGATCAAAAATGTGCATTTGGTAAAGTTGAGAGACCAAATTTAGCATTTAACCTTTGATTTATATGACAAATTAGAATTGCTCCTTCATTATAAATCATATTTTCCAATTCGTCATAATCAAGAATTGGAGAATCATCTTCTTCCATTATCCAACAATCAACATTGTTTGTACTCTCATAATCAATAGGATCAAAACAAGTCATCTTCTTTCCATCAATCCTATAATTCAAGATTATTAAAAATTTGCAAAAGATTTAATTAATAAAGTTTAAATAGAAAAAAACTATAATTTAAATAAACATAAGATAAAATACCTATTTTTCAAATGCAAATTGTAATGCACATAGACAAGATCATTTAATCTTTGATACTCCAATCTATTTCTTTTCTTGGTGTGTATCTTTTCAAAACACTCCAATTTCTTTCACAACCCGAAGATGATGAAGTTTGACTCAAAAGTTTAATAGCAAAATTTTTAAGAGTTGGAGCACTATATCCAAAATATTTCCACCATTCATTTATCAAGAACATAAGAAATATATAACATGTTAGAAAATTTATAATTAAAAATATTTTTCATAAAAAAAGTATTAAAATTATAAATTTAAACTTGTAATCTTATTAGGTTTCATATCTTTTGAAGATTCAAGTGCACTTGAACGAGCAAAGCTCTCCAATCTCTTCTCATATAACTCACATTCATTCCAAAATGTTGTCTTTCGAGAAGAAATTTTTGCATCCATAACATCCATAAACCCTTTCATCACTTCTTGCTTGGTACAAAAATGCTCTTTATCATAGAAGAAAGAAGGATTCAAGTAATAGGCAGCAGCATGGATACTTTGACGAAGTTGTCTATCCCGTCTTTCCTTAATAATTTTTGTATAAGGCTTATATAAAGACTTTCTATTCATCAATATAGTCTTAATAGCCTTTCTAGCCCTATACATGCCATCATAGACATAACCAAGAGAAGGCCTTTCATCACCATCAACAATTCTAAGCAGACGCATAAGTGGTGCCACAACTTTCACAACAAGTTGACAATTACTCCAAAATTTATTATCTAAGACAACAGCAATAACATCTTTCCCCTTCAAATCTTTGTAGTATCTAGATTCTTTAAATTCCAAACTAGTAACCAATGCTTGCAAGTCATGCTTGTGATCAAGAATACCTTTTAATGCAATGAATGTAATAGCAAACCGTGTTGGCTCTGGACGAATAAGTTTAGTCCACCCTTCTCTTTTTCTTAACCAAGCTAAGAGAAAAGCATGATTAGATACAAATTTAGTCACCAATGATGCACTGGTTGCCAATTTACTCACAACATCCAACTTGCCAATATCATTTAATATCAAATTCAAGCAATGCAGAGCACAAGGAGACTAGAAGATAGTTGGATATATCTCATTCAACATTTTTCCAGCTTTTTTATAATTAGCTGCATTATCAGTGACCAAATGAACAACATTACTAGCACCAAAAAAATCAACCAATTCTTCAAACAAATTGCAAAGCATGCTAGCATCTTTAACCACATTGGAAGCATCAATAGATTTCACAAAGGTTATCCCTCTAGGACAATAAACAAGAAAATTAATCAACTATCTATTTTTTTTATCCTGCCAACCATCACCCATGATTGTACAACCAGTTTCTTCCCAAATTTTCCTATAAGAATCAATCAACATTTAGACCTCTTTTTTTAAATCTTTCAAAAGACTAATTCTCACAACATGATAAGTTAGTCCTTTACAACCGGGACCAATTGCAGCAATTGCATCAATCATAGGCTAAAAATATGGAAAATTAATGGCATTTATAGGAATGCAGCTATCAAAGAAGATCCTAGCAACAGCTAAATCAGCTTAATGAATATCCTTTATACCTGCCATTGCACTTCTAATTGATGGTTGAGATCCAGGAGTTGTTCTCAGAGCAAAATAATTAGGCAACTCACTTGCCTTTTTTTGTTTTACCTTTTTCTAAAGTAGTTGCTATTCCTTTTGCTTTAGCTTGAGAAGGTGGAGCAGGAATCTCTTGTAAATCAGCATCATCAAATGGGTTATCTTTTCATTGATTTTTAGCTTGCTTCTTCATTTCTTCAAATTCCCTCAAACTTTCTTGCATTCGATAGTGAACATCATGAGGAACCTTATCGCATTTTTTTACTTCTCCACCTTTTCCAACAAGATGCTGTTTCATTCTATTTATTCCCCCTCCTTTGATAAGCTTTTGATAATGCAAGCATTATAATGTTTTTTTCGTGCCTTCAACTTCAACACAATGCTCCCATGCAATATCAACTTTTCCCCTACATGATTGTTGTGACTGTGTAGAAGCAGTAGTTGAATTTTGTCCAGAAAATGACATTTTTCTATAATTTACACAAATATATCAATTATTAAAAAACCTCCAAGAATATAAGAATAATAAATAAGAATTTATTTGAATTAAATATTAAAATTTTAAATCAATGCATTACAAATTAGAAAAGAATAAAAACTTACATCATAGTAATCATATATATATATTAATTTGACCATCACAACATCAATGCATTACATATATATATATTTCCAAATCTTTTATCTATATTGATTAATAAAAAAATTAATTCCTATAAACAATTAACAATCATTCATCAACATGTAAATTTGATAATTAAATTCAAGATAAAACTGAAATTCTTACCCACTAGAAACAAGTGCTGCTCTGTTTTGTTGCTGTTGCTTGGTTTGGTGGATGAAGGAGAGGAAAGTGTTGTTGCTCTGTTTGATGGATGAAAAAGAGGAAAGTGCTATTGCTCTGTTCGATGGATGAAAAAGAGGTTGTTTCTACCCATTGGGAAGGAGAGGAAGGTAAGCAATAGATGCTGCTCTGTTCACTGTTGCTGCTCTGTTAGCTGTTGCTACTCTGTTCGGCTGCTGCTAACAACCAATTGGGAAGGAGAGGAAGGTAAGCAATAGATGCTGCTCTATTCGCTGTTGCTGCTCTGTTCGGCTGCTACTTTATTCGGTGAGGAAGCTACTGCTGTTCAGTGGCCGGCAAGGAAGTTGAGTCGTGAAGGGCTGGAAGAGGCTGTTGATGGTGGTGGTTGAGAGCAAATGCAGATCTGTTCTACTGCTATCACTTTGTGCTATGCTACTACTTTGTTCGGTGCTATTGAAGCTGCTATTGGTCGGTGGAGGAAGAGAAGGAAGATGTGCCGCGAAGGGCTGGACAGGGCTATCGACGGTGGTGGTTAGGGGTAGGGAGGTCGATGGAGGAAGGAGATTTGCTGTGTTTCGGACCTTTTGGTGTCTTTGAGTTTGAAATCTAAATTCTTTCCATTTTCTGCACAGTGTTTTGGAATTTGGGCTGTCGACTGATTTGTTTTTTTTTTCTCATTTTTAACCCTCTATTAGGGTTTTTTTAATCTAATTTTGATTGAAATTTAAGGGTTTTTATGTAATAATATTAAAAAGGTAGGGTAAAATAGGTATATTGCCTTTAAAATGGAAAAAAAAAAAGGAAAAAAAATGGGCCAATTGCAGAAAAGAGGTGCAGCCCGGTGGGTGGACTAGGTGGAATGGGCCAAGCGGGTTGAGCGGGTCGACTGGGTTGAAACAGGTCAAATAGCAAAACGGGTTGAGGGATGCACCTAGTCCATTTTTAGGTTCGGGTCCGGTTCAATCGGTCAGGCTGAGCCGAGTCAAAATACAGTGATATAAATAACTTAACCCTCACAAGGGATAATCATACAGTCAAGACAAACAAAAGAAACCATTTCAAAAATAATAATTTCAATAATATTGGAGAAAAACAAATTAAAATTAACCACCTCCACATGGCCACAATCTCATCTCAAACTTAAATAAAAATATTAATCATCTCTTCTATAATTAAAAATATTTAGTAAAAAATCATTCTCTAAGAAATAAATAAACAAACAAATAGATAAATAATCAAAACTAGATAAAACTCATGTAAATTTATTGATTTACTTTAAAAATACTGGATGGTATAGCTATTTACCTCAATAACTATTTTTCAATTGCAATTATCACACAGCTATTCAAAACCTAAATAAACATCAAACTTAACATAATTCAATCATTAAGTAAAAGTTTATCATGTATTTATCAGTCACTTATTAAAATAATTCTATAACCCATACCACTTATATATTCTTTTTCAAACCCAATCATCCAACACCAACTTTTGAAAATTAACCACCCAAATAAATGATTCCCCCTTGAAAATTTCGCATGCCACATCACCCAAATTCACAATTTAAAGATTAATTCCAAAACCAACAGTAAAATCAATTTCTCAATCCACGCGTCTACCTATTCTCTTAATTTCCAAAATCCTAAATATGTCAAGCTTTAGAAGACAATTTACCTTGGATTTAGTCTAGCATGGCAGATCCCTAGAGCTCTGTCCCCCTTGCTAGCGAGAGGAAAAAGACAATCTTGTTTCCCAAAAAGAAAGAAAACAAAATGAAATTGCCGAATCTATTTTGGGTTTCTTTTCAAAAAGGAAATATTGCCACTTAGTCCTTGTGATATTTTTTCAACTTAGTTGGTCCTTGAAGAATTTTTACAACTTAATCGCTGAACTCCTCACCTCATTATAATTAGACCCCATCTTTAATCCTATCACATATATACCCTCTATGAGTTTAAATAATTTATTTAAATCTTAAGTAGTTTTTAGGTATAACAACTATAACGATCAAATCAATTGAGGGTAGAGTTTAATAACAAGATCGTAAAACAACAGTGTTGGGGTTGGAAGTTGTGGAATCAATTTTGCAACACAATAGTATTCACTAAAGGGAAAGTGGTGCTAGGATGGCAAGTTATATGGTTCTCTACCATGTAGACTTTATGGTTGGCTAGAAAATATACTGGATGCTTTCTGATCTAGCAATATGTAATAGATAGGAAAACCTTGTACTCTAATGATAAATAATTTTTACAATTCAAAAGAAAAAAAAAGGGATTATATAGCAAAAATATAACATTATTTATATTTTATACTTACACTATTTTTTTTTCTTCAATTAAGATTTACCCTTTTAGAAGATCCAAGCTCTTAGTCTTGTGTAATACAATCCATTTCTAAACAAGTGAAAAACACTAACAATCTGTAAGTAAATCATTAAATTATTTTTAAACTTAAAAATGAAGTAAAAATTCTACTTTTTTCATATATTTCTGCATCTTCCAAAGTTTGTTCAACATTAATTGGATCCTTATCATTTCTCACCCAATCTCGACTACAAACTAAAACTTTTATAACTTTTGGAGACAAACTACTTTGAAATTGATCAAGCACTCATTTTAAAGTATTAAAGGTGGATTTTGAAGCAACAATTTACACTAGAATAGCTAAGATATCTCTTGCCATCTTTGCTAAAACCTTGTATTTTGATTTATTTTTTACCCACCATACCATTGCATCATAGTCTATCTTGTAAAGCTCAACTCACTCCAAAAGCTACTTCAACTCATTCTTCTCCTCATTTTCACCTTTTTTTGCATCTTGAAATTACTTAAATTCATTATAAAATTTCACTTTTTTACTCTTTTGATATCATATGTCCATAAGAATTGAGCTACTAAAAGCTTGAGTTGATAAGGAAATGCCTGCAAATTCCTTTTCATATTCCATATATAAGTGTTGTACAACAACCTTCACACTATCACCCAATTCTTTGCTTTCCAAATTATCATTTCCATAAATCTTCTTGAAGTAAAATCTGAAGAACCCAATTCACACGTTGGATCCAATACAATGAAAGTAACATCATTAGGTTTGTCTTGTCAATTTGCCATAATACTTGTAAACTTTATCTCTTATTTTCAATACCATGGATTTGATTGTAGGATCTAAATTAGAGCCTAATCAGTTAAAGAAGTGAGAATGCTCATCACTTCTTGAAAATATTTGTTTGAAGTGACATATAAAGTGCTTGACATCCTTTTTATGGCTTCATAAAATTCTTCCAAGAATATAGACATCGCCAATGCAATTTCTCAATCAATTAAAGTGTCATATTAAAGCTCAAAAGCAAAATAAGAACCCTCATATTCTAACCGCTCCAAAGCTTTCCTAAACTTTGAGGTAGTTAGTTTCCAACATTATGTATGTTGAATTCCACCTAATTGCAATATCAAGACATACTAAACCCTTATGCAGAATTTTTCATCTTCAATACATTTTGGAAAGCTATGCTTTAGTAGGAGAACTTACATACTTAATTGCTTTTTGAATCTACTCAATTGAACTATTATACTCCTTCAAACCATCTTTCATTATCAAATTCAATGTGAGCTGTGCACCTCATGAAAAACTTTACCACCCAAAATAACAGACTTGTTAGCATTTAACCTTTTTTAAATAGTTGATTGCCACATTATTAGAACTAGCATTATCCACCGTCAACGTGCGTATTTTATTTTTTATTCCCCACTCATTAATGCAACGCTTCACTATCTTTCCAATCTCTTTACCTTTATGGTGAGGCATCACAACAAAGTTAAGGACCCGTCTATGCAACCTCCAATCTTCATCAATAAAATGAGTAGTCAATCACAAGTAATTCAAGTTCTGCATGGAAATTCACATATCAGTTGTAAGAGCAATTCTTGAGTTCAATGACCCCAAAATTATCCTTAACTCAACCTTGTAACTAACATACAACTTTTGACAATCCCTTATATTTGTGAAGTAGGAAACACACTTAAACTTTGGTTGTATTGCACTAACAAATACTGTAAATTCTTTATTTTCCACCAAAAGAACAGCTTACTTATTTGCCATTACAAATCTACAAAGCATATGCCAATCGTACTCTTGATCAAATTTCCAAGTACCTCATGCACTTTTAACTTTTCCATTCTCCTCAAACTCATAAGTTGTAATAGGATTTTGCTTCTTATCAAGATTGGTAGGATACTTGGGATATTTTGCAATATGCTTCCACATGTTAAAAGTACCCCAAGCAAAAATGTATATGAAATTTGACATTGCTCTGATATTAACATGTGGTACTTTCAAGATACATAGATATTAAATATAATAAATGTATGTAAAGTTTTAATTATATAAGTACATGTAATAGGTTAGGTAAATGGGACGATTAAACAGCAGTGAACAGTTTTAACTTCTGAACCTTTATACTTGCTACTTGACTTAATACTTATAATTACATTATTTTTATATCTATTACTTACCCAATTTTTTTACAGTTCAAATATAATAGTTACCCAAACATGTAAGATATTTGAGAGTAACAGATATACTTGTACCCAATGCTCACCCCTAGTATAAATACCCCACACCTACTAATCTCAAGATAATAATTCCCATCCACTTTCAAAATAATTACTCCCAATCAAATCTCTATCGACAATTTTCAATTGAGAACTTCTCTTT